CACGCATAACCTGACATCTGAATGGGTCTCCACGTTCTCTTCCCTAACCGTAGCCATCAGTGAGCGCATTGCTATGTGAGCCGTGAGTGAAGTCTTGGGCTTCGCAAAGTCTGTAGCATCTGAGGAGGAAACCTTTTCGCGAATTAGAGCCCGAATATATGATATATCGAGGTGAAACTGGTCTCTGAAAGGGCCAACGGGCCGGCCGGACTTTAATAGGGTGTTGAAAAATCGTACACGGCACGAAGGAAGCTCAAAATTGAAAGAAGATATCTTTTTTGTTTTCTTATTAGCGGACTTTTGTGCTGCAAGGGCAGCACTCGTCACCTTCGCTTGAAATGCATCCAAAATCTCCAGGGGCTTACGGGGTTGGATTGAGTCTAGCAAGGAAGCCACGGCGCGTACTGCTTCTATAGAGACGAATCCAGATAAACCTGGTGCCATGCTGCAATTGATGCATTCTTGAGCGCCAGCCAAAAACTCGTCAGTATAAGAACGTCCAAAACCAGCATCCAGGGCCTGATTCCGGCCGATTAAAACCTCAGAATTGGACGGCATGGGAGGAACATTTGTCTCGTCAAGTTGGACATGGTAAAAGGAGAATTTTGGCATTGCCCATGTTGTAGAGCAATGTCCAGCACGGCGGCCGTGGGAAACATATTGGTCAGGGGTAGGATTTAAACTAGAAGTTAGAGGAATAGTTGTCGCATCTGGAACCTCGTTCAAAGGAGAGTGTGGTGTCTGGCTAGCTTTAGAGTCCGCCGGAGATTGGATAGGTTCAGGCATTGAAGGGACAGGCATTGTGGGAGAAATAAAGGAAGGAAATAAATTCTCTCCAGGGGCCAAGTCAAGTTCTTTAAACAAAAGCCATGGAGTACGGTGGGTCCGCGAGTCATGCCTCCTGATATGGTTTTGTTGCAGAGAGCGATAATAATCAAAGTCTTCTCTTTTCCCCATTGTGCTAAGCTTAACTGCAGTACGGAAGCTGGCATAAGTTTTGGCTGGCGTTTGAGATGCACTTCTTGGGATTACTGACGTCCGATCCACAACTGCGAGAACAATGTCGGGAACAGTCACATCGACAAATAATGACATTTTTAAGCCACATCGGTCATTAAACTCCACATCAATCGTCCCGGTACTGAAAAGAAATGCGGACTTTTCTGCCAAGATCCACACTTTGATAGATTTCACATTTGCGCGCAGGAAAGTCACATCATAAACACCGGTCTGTATGGGAGGCAAGGCATTCTCGTCGTCGTCGAATGAGAAAGCTAGAGATTCGAACGCCGATTTAGCAGATTTTATGAATGAGGGAGAACATTCTCCCACGATAGATCCCACTTGAAAATCCCAATTGCAGGCATATGTAGGCTCGGTTGGTGGTAAACCAAAAAGTCTATGACCAAAAATACCGAGTCCATTTATATAGAGCTGAGGACCGGACCGGACAGCGGAGGCGCCTGGCTTCTCCGACAGAACAGAAACTTCTAGGGGAGATAGCGAGCAGTGGAAATCCATGTAATAGTTTGTGAATCTTACATCCAAGTCTAGACTTGTTGCTTTTAGTGCAAGGCTCTCATGTCGGTCGTATAGACCAGTGGGAAGAAGAACTTTAATATCCTCGGCTGCAATGTGAAGAATAACATCAAGCCCATTGGTATGTGGTGCAGGGTTGGAACCATAAATACCCTGGGTCGCTGTCGAATTGGCTGCTGCCCTATGTTCATCGAATGTCTTGAAATGAATAGTTCTACCAAAGTAGTTTTCATTGACATCGAGGAATTGTTTCAGGATAAATCCGTAAAGGTACAGGTATGGTGCAGTACCAGATAAGTTAATAATTGCGACGTCTGTCACTTTTGGTGAAGTTATACCGTACCATGTATAACTTCCATCAATTTTTAGGGTGTCCAGCCCGCCAACAGGTCGATCGTCCAAGAACGTACGTTGGGTATTCCATAGGGGCGTAGAGAGTTTTAAGTCGCCATTTGAGCCCTGAATATCAAATGTAGCGATATTACGGCTCGCTCTGTGATGAATAACTGGGATCTCCACGCGGGCGGTTAGTATTTCTCCTTCAATAATCAAGAACGAATTATCATCAAAGTCGGAGGGATTGTTTATGATATTCAAATCATTCACGTTAATCATGAGTTTGAAATCAAGAAAGGCAAAGGAAAGCTGATATTTGATCGGGACGAAGGTATAATATTCCTGGAAAGGCCCCGATGTCCAGTCCGAGATGAGGTCGGTAAGTAATATTAGGTGGTCCCATAGTAAGAACAGTTCCATGTTGGTACTCTCTACGTCAACGGACCAGTTGTGCAGGCTATTCCATCGAAGAGGATTTGAAAGATCGCAGGAGATAAGCTGACGATCACTTTGCCACAACATGCCATGATTCACGCTCGTGGTCATTTTGGTTTGGCGCAGGTCAATGTCAACTTTGTTGCAATACCCATGTCTACTCGCAAACATTGCCATTGAATACACGATGGTTGAACCGGGGCCTGCTCTGAGAGATAGCCAGCCAAAAGGCCGGATATCTGGCCCTTGAGTTCCTATGTTGTCGGCTTCATTCCCCCGAGAGCGATCCTTGTCCTTCTTCTTCATTCGAGAAGCTCCTCGCGAACGGTCTGCCCGGCCTCTCCATTGCCAATCCTTTGAGGCCTCCCTTGTGGGTATGCGGAGTATTGTAGTTTCTTCAATGAGAATGTTTAAAACGAAAGCCGTGCTCTGCCTCGTTTCTCCAGGCTTTAGTATAGGCGTAACGTGTGAATCCCTGTATGAATTCGGCACGAAGACACTTTGGAGATTGATCCGTTCACGGTCTGCCCATGGCCCGTAGTTAAGCAGACCACCACGTATAGTTAAGTCCATTCCCCATTCAGGGGCTTCTGCACCGTTGATGTTATGGGGAATCAACTTATCCGGGGCTTCGGGTTTGGAACTCGATATTGCAACAGGGCCCCCGATGTCCCAGTAATAGCGAAAATGCATACTGGGAGAGTCTAGTAGCGTTGAGAAACGTCCATACTCTATCGAGTTCCATCCTTCATAATCATCTTGCTCTTCCTCGTCAAGATAGCGTGTCAGGCCCAGCCAGCCATCTTGATGGACCGCTCTAGAAACAGGTCTGTCCCTTTCATCGTGTCTGGGATGGAATGATTCTACAGATCGTTGAAAGTAAGGAATCAAATCACGAACGCTGGTCCACACTCGGTGCCTATGATCACGATACCGTTTATGTAAGCTGTGCACATAGCCGCGGTTTCTATACTCCTCTTCTTCTGGGGTTTCCATTTCATGAACTGCAGCCAATTGTGATTGTCTGTAGTCCGGATTGGGTTTCATATGTATGACAGGGTGGGAGAGGTCATATTCAAATATTTGTTTGTAAATATCGAGAGGGCCAGAGCGTTCAGCATCGATTTTTCCGACGGCCTTGTCAAACGTCAAGGTAAGTATGGTTTTTGTGTTCTCGTTACCCAAGGCCAATGCGCCCTTGTAACAATTCATGGATATTGGGAAAAACGAAAAGATCCGAGGCCCAGTGGACTTCTCCATATGCTGAGGTATAGAAGAGTCTCTGGTACTTGAAGAAGTCCTCTGCTTTTGTGAACTTGTTTCTTTTCTAGAAGAGGGAGTTAAGGGGTCGGAAGGGCTTGAAGCAGCCACTTCGTCGACATTATCTTCCTTAGGACTTGAGTCCTCATGTTGCGCATTCTCTCCATTTTCAGCTACAAATGAGGCGCTTGCCCCATCAGGAGGCGGCACCAATCCAAACCCAGCGAGAATCGAATCATAGGCAGGACTCCGGTTATACACAAACCACTCTAGACCATTGAGGGTGATTTCAATTCTAGCTGGTGTCTCTTTTCCATTCTCTGCACCGTTGCCTCTGTTTCCGTCCTCGCCGCTTGCGCCCGCTGCTGCCTCGCATTCCGGAGGCTTGGGTTTGCTCTTCACATGACATGTATCTACTGGCAGCTCTGGCCGAGACCAGAACCTCCAGGTAAGATAACCAGTTTGGACATGAATAGTCTCATTTTCGCCATGGTATCGTATCCCTTTGAAAAATATTCGGCCAGCTAGCAACGATATTTGGAGCGCATGTATGTCTATGTAGACTCGGTAGTAATGCCAGGTATAGGCACGGATGGCATAGGATACGAGGGTCGCAAACAACCGGTTGAAATAGAAGAGGAAGAAGAGAGTGCTATCACATCAACGGTCCATGGTCAGAAAATCCCCGTATCCATCCTCTTTTGTGGAGGTCATCAAAACGTACAGAACTCCGCTCACAATCAGCTCAATGAGGAAGACCCTATATCCACGATTATCAGCAACAAGCCAGCAACTCGTGCAGGCGATCAACGCACCAGTTGAATCGAGGGACAGGCGTAAGCGACTCTGGGGTCAGCTTGCCGTCCGCAATCGGGTGCAGTGGTGAGTAGGACATTGGTCATATGCATCTCGAACGGCTCAGTCGCATCGCCGACACAGGTTTAAAGACAAGGACAACTTGCTCCGAAGCAGCAACATCGCACATTCAGTTCATCAACTTGTTCTCACAGCCGCTCCAAGTGTACGTCAAGCCTGAGTGCTGACGTTGAAGCCATCGATGTTTGCTCCGTAGCAGCCTGGCAGTGTTAAAGTCGATAGGTAGAAGAAGGGGGCTCCGCGACGTCACGCGTTTTTCTCTTAGTTATTTTTTATTTTTATTTTTTCGGCCAAAAACAAACGATCTAGAAGCTTGCCAGGGATGAAGCTTTGCTTGTCCACGAGCAACGTCTTTTCTCTTGTTTATCTTGCTGCCTTCACAGAAACGAGTACCGAGTAGTAACTACCGAAGGCTCAGGTTTACTGCGTAGGCCGTTTTGTTGTGTTATTCGACGTGGGCTGGTCTCAGATGGACAAAGGCGACCTCTCGCGGATGTGAACGAGGATGGTATCTTGACCGGCACTACCGCAGTCGCATAGCAACAAGAGGCAGCATGATGCTCTTCAGCTCGAATACTGGGGGCACAGGCTCCAGCTTGGCTAAAGCAGCCATTATCGTGGCCGGAGTGGCCTCGCTGATGGCCTCTCTCATCTCGCTACTGTACGTTCTGCCCTTTCCTGTCTGCCTACTTAGGCCGCAAGTAACTGACATGTATCAAATATATCAGGTCCATCTGGCTACAGACGTGAGCTTTACCAAATATTTCCATGTCTGCCATTGATTCGGTTACTGAAAGAGCCATAGTAAAAACTACCGGAAACCTCTCCTCCAACGATACGTCGTCAGAATACTCTTGATGTCAGTGAAAAAGACCGGCCAGTCGGGAGCATTAATCTCTTGCTGACACCCCCTTAGGGTACCTATATTCGCGATATCATCTTGGACAAGCATAGTTTCGTTGAAAGCAGCAGCGTGGGTTGCACCTATTCGAGATATCTATGAAGTAAGCACGCTGCCTTTTCATGTCACAGTGGGAATATATAGGCTGATTCTGGCTTATAACTAGGCATTTACCATATATACCTTTTTCCAGCTCCTGATCAACTTTCTCGGAGGAGAGAGGTCACTAATAATTATGACCCATGGCCGTCCTCCAATACAACACACCTGGCCACTTAATAAATGTCTCCCAAAGATAGACATATCCGATCCGTACACCTTTCTGGCCGTGAAAAGAGGGATCCTACAGTACGCATGGCTAAAACCGATTCTTGCATTGGTTACCGTCATACTTAAAGCAACTGGAACCTTCCAGGAGGGCTACATTGGCCTCTCCTCCGGATACCTGTGGGTTGGGATTATCTACAACCTCAGCGTCACAATCAGTTTATATTCGCTGGCGTTGTTTTGGATCATTATGAATGACGATCTCAAGCCTTACAGGCCAGTCCCGAAATTCCTGAGCGTCAAACTCATCATATTCGCCTCCTATTGGCAAGGGTTCTTTCTTTCTATCCTTCAGTTTCTAGGAGCAATTCCTTCTGGACCAGAAGGGTACTCCCCGAACAACATGGCAGCTGCAATTCAGGATTTATTGATTTGCTGTGAGATGCCAATATTTGCACTTATGCACTGGTATGCATTCTCGTGGCATGACTACGCAAATGCGTCTATCTCCTCCGCTCGAATGCCGGTAAAATACGCGATTCGCGACGCATTCGGAGTAAAGGATCTCATTGAGGATACCAAGGAAACTTTCCGGGGTGAAAAGTACCAGTATCGATTTTTTGATTCAGAAACGAACGTTATTGCCCACGAGGAATCCCGATCACGGATGGCTCGCGTGATGGACGGCATGCGATACGAAAGAGGAGGAAAGGCAAAGTATTGGATCCCCAAGCCAAAAAAGGCGAATAGCCGCACACCACTATTGGGACCTGAATCGTCATCCCGGAGGACGTCCTATGCCAGTTCGAGCCGTATAAGGGACGAAGGCCGGCGAACATATGATATCGAGGAGCCCACTCTCAACGAGGATGATGAAATCTGCTTTGAGAATGCGCGTAAACTAGAATTTGGCGACTGGAATGTATGTAGCCATGCTTGGTATCAAGGCTTCAGGCTCGGCCGTGCTAACTGTGATACAGTACCCCGTCATAACAACAAACGAAGTATACAGAGAACAGGTGTGGCACTCTCGTGCATCCATGTACTCGAGTCGACAAGGATCAAGTGAAGGAAATCAGATAAAACGGCCTGGCAACCGCCAAAGCAGACGTCAGCGTTCTGCAGAAGGGCAGTCCAGCGCAGCATATAGTAACATCAACGCAGACAAGGGCAAGCAGCCGGCCGCTCTGACCAGAGGGACAAGCCGGATGAGCCAATTGAGCAGCTCTTCCCGCCAGCTCGCAGACTTGGTCGATGATGCAGACGAGACCGCAACTCAGAGAGTAAATGATCAGCTTCCTCGTGATACCGTTACTCGAAATTATGCACAGGAACAGCAATCCATGTGAGTTTCTTCAGAGGCAAAAGAAAAACGAGAGCGAGAGAAAGAGAGGGGACCCCTTGAATTGAAGAATTATGTTTCTACTAACATGAAGGCACCAGGAACACTGCACACCACGCTAGCAAAGCATCGCAGCTCCAACTAGAGCAAAGCGAAGCCCTTGACTATTCTAATTATAATAATACTGAGCATGACACGCATCATCACACCGGCGGCTTCCAACATGACGGATCCAGGCCGGGGCCAGAGGGGTACAGCGGTGTCTTTGACGACGAATATGATGCCTGGAACACCTCTGGTGCAACCAAATAACTAGATGGTTAGCCATCCGTTACACATTTGGTGCATAGTAAATTAATTTCTTGGAGAAGCAAATTTCGAATCTGCGGAGTTATTGCGTGTTTTTCCCCCTGGATTTAACCTCCCCCCTGCCATCTCCTGTATCTGTATATGTTTTTTTTTTTTTTTTTTTAAATCCCAGGGAGTCACCCGTTCTTCCTGTTGCAAGCGTCTTTATGCTTTCTTTTTCTCTTCTCTCTTCTCTTCGTTTCTTTCTTTTTCGGCTACTCACCGTTCGCTTCTTGGTTCACGATCTTCCAACAGCTTTCTCCAGCCTGTCGCTCCCCATCTGAGCTAAACATCGGACTGCTGTGCAGATCTGACACCGCAGAGCATGGCTTCGACTCGCCGTCGATTGGACACTGCCTCGCCGGCCGGGATGTCCCCTGCTCGCTTCCCCTCTCATTTCAGCGAACGGGAGCGGATTCCAAGCCCAAATGCCCGACATCCTTAACCCCTTGGCGCTGCCGGTGTTATACTTAGTACAACACTTTACACCACACCATGTTTGCATACGCACTGTCATCCCGCCTGCTCTCAAACATCGCGAATTCCACCCTAAAAGTGTGACGGAGCCATGTCGCCTGCATACACCGCCTGTCCATTGGCCAACGCTCATGCAAGGCGCCAGCGCCTGCCCCTCTCTGATATGAAGGGAGGTCCCACAGACTGGCTGCTGGGAGCCCGTCCTCCCCAGGGTACGTTTCTCATATATGAGGAAAGCTTTGCGCCTGGAATTATGTCTAAATTCTCTTTTTAGAGAAGCTTGCTTCGCTCTTTTGCCGGCTTGTCCACCGTCGCTCTGAAAAAGTTCCAGGAGAACCAACTGCCATGGGCACAGGATCTCAAGCATAGGAAGGATGATGCTGCTGGAGTGAGCAGGCTCAATGTTCACGGCCTGGCTTCCCTCTTGCTCATGGTGCATCTGGTCAGAGGTCGTTGAGCAGGCTCCCTCTCTCCAGGTGCACAACAACACAAGTAAGTAATCAATTACAAAGTGGCAGATCGGGTTGTGCATGCTGTAAGGATCGAGGCTGCAATGCACGGAGTCAATAGGAAGGCCAAGCTAAATACCACCTTTAGGTGCTCAAGAAGATGTCATCGTGGTATGCGATGAGCAGCCCCTGCCGGTTGCTCCTATGAAGCTGGTTCTTTACGACGACATCCCCAGTAGTCCTCGTCGTGCCGATTCACGGGCTTCATTGCTGCCAAATCTAGTTACCGAAACCAGAAGTCTAGCTTCTAGAGCGACTAACAGAGCGAGCCTCTTAATCAAGCACAAGAAAATATCAAAAAACACACCCGTCCGCAAATTACAGATCAGTGGCCCAACAGAATTTCGTCACCTCACTGCTGGAAGCACTCCTACTCCTAGACGCCGCCGTCGATCCTTTCGACCTCTGGAATTGAGCATCTATATTGAAGGGAACCAATTGCCAGACCTACCAGCATTTGACACTTTTGGTCTTGATAACTTCGATCTAGAAGGCTTTGGCCAGGATAGCTCTCGGTCTACGGGCACAACTACAGACTCAACCCCAGACCCAATCATAGCCCCACCGCCAAAGGCTGTTTGTGCGCCAGATCAGAAAGATGACCGCCGACGCTCAGAGTCAAGTTCATCTCCATTCGCAGTTGCTCGTAAACCAATAGGCACGTCTTCCGCTAGAAACTCCCTATTTATCGAAGTTCACGACCGCCGTCATACGATACCAGACCCAGAAAAGTTGCAGGAGATACAGAATGCCATATCTCCTCCCCGAAGGAGCAGTGAAACGTCGAACGGCTACCCGCTCTCATCACTTGAAGACCTTACCGACCTGAAGCAGACCGGATCAGAAATTGTTCCTTCTTCTGTCAGCCCAAGTAGAGGCCATAACAGCTCAAGTGCACCAATACCAACACACTATCCTACTCGTTCTCGTACCATTGCAGAATGGTTTGCTGCCAAGTCCCACCAAGGTCGCCCACCCTCAAGCTTCCGTTTCGACACATCGCATGCAAGAGCACGTACACTCAGTGGTTCAACGATGGTCTCATTAGCCAATGCATCCACCGCAGGATACTCATCACGAAATCCTTCGCTCTCAAGCTCAGTGATGATGGGAACTGCCGCACAGTCACCTCTTAGTTTCCACGCGTTAACAGAGAAGGACTATGAAATCTGTGACATAGCAATGGGCTACAAAACTTCATCTCAGGAAGCCTGTTCTACACCTAATGAAAAGTGTCAATCCCAAACACTCACCGATAAAGGCCCGTACTACGAAATACCCCTCGGTCCAAATGATATCGGAGTGGCATACTGAGGGATTTCCTTCTTTCTCCTTCCAACAACCTTATTTTTCTCTTCCTCTTGATCTACACTTTTGGGTGTAGGAGGCGTTGCTTACCTTGCCCGCTAAAACCTCCTATTATTCTTGTTTTAAGCACTTGATTCCCCTCCTGATTTTTGTTTAATTTTATTATATATATATATTCCCAATCTTTATCCCCTCACATTTGTGGGAATTATCGGGAGGCGCATGAATTGTTGACGAGGCGGGGAAAAGGGGTGGCGGCACATATGTTGTAATGAGCAGTGGGATCTAGGAGGAAAATTATACCCCATAGAGTATCCTGCAAGATGCTCTGATTGCTCGATAAATTTAGTTAATAGTTAAACTAATAGGGCATATCTATTCCCAAAGTTATCAATCGTTCCTCATCACTCTACAGATTTCTATTGTTCAGTTATCGAAGTCATGGCTCTTTTAATAGCAGGCATAGCTGCTCTAAAATCATCCTCACTGACGTTCAAATAGGATGCAAACCGAACGGTCGACGCACCCATTGCTCCCCCTTTAATACCCATAGAATGCGGTTTTTGCCACAAAATCCGCAGCTGCCGAGCGGCCCTCCCGGTCATTCACCTCGAAATAAACCAGATTGGTTTCCACTTCGTCCAGCTTGATGCTGACGCCCGGAATAGCGGACAATAATTTGGCCAACAACCTAGCATTTGCGTGGTCCTCGGAAAGACATTTTATATTATGATCAAGAGCATATATCCCCGCTGCCGCAACGATACCAGATTGCCTCATTACTCCTCCAAACCTCTGCTTCAGCCGCCACGCTTTTCGAATGAAGTCCGCAGATCCACATAGAACCGCCCCTATCGGACACCCAAGCCCTTTGCTTAGATCAATCCAGACCGAGTCGAAAGATTCAGCATACGCTGCCGCCGAAATGCCAGTAGCAGCAACAGCATTGAAGAGGCGGGCGCCATCCATATGTGTTGCCATCCCTGCTTCTTTGGCAATTGCAGCGACGTCCTGGAGTGTGGATAGAGGCATATCGCTCCTCCGCCAAGGCCTGCCGTCTGTTCAACACAAAGCAGTCTACTCTCAGGGAAATATTGTGAAGGGGCTCTGATAGCACTCTTGAGCTGCTTCGCTGTAAAGATTCCGCGCTCTCCGTCAATTGCATGAATCATCACTCCCGAGTTCGCAGCTGGGCCACCTGTCTCGTAGCCGACAATACGGCTTGTTCGGTCACAGACGATTTCATCTCCTGGTCGGCAGTGCACGTTGATTGCGGTTTGGTTACACATGGTGCCCGATGGGAGAAACACTGCAACCTCCTTTCCAAGAAGCTTTGCTACCCGTTTACACAGCTCAGCGGTAGTTGGGTCTCCATTGTATTGTTCGTCTCCTAGTTCCGCTTTTATCATAGCCTCGTTGATCTTGATGACTCTTCTTAACACGCCCTTGGAGAGGTAAAATTCATGAAACGAGAGGATTTTTTGTGATAACCGTTGAGGCTCGTTCTCAATCTGATAACATGGATCTGATAAGATTTCTGGAACCTTGCGCGCAAGGCGAAGAGCCGCAGCATCTGATTTGCCGTTCACTTGCCGAGAGTTTCGTGTTCGGAGTTGAATCCTAAACTACATCTATGATTGCTGGGCTCGTTCTTTGGATCCAAGCATTGAGGAGCGATCGAGCAGTGTGTACGGGTCCATAGCCGGTTCTAGCCAGTGAGCGGGGGAGGGTGGTTTACATTCCTGAAGATGCCCAAATCCGTGCAATACTTGTTGGGAAGAGTATAGTATATTAGGACGGAATATAATTAGCTATGAAGAAATATGTATCAAGTCCTTGATCTTTGATATACAGATATCTCGGGTATATAGCAGAGAACTGGAAAAGAAAAGTAACAGAAATATTGAAGGGAGAGAAAATGAAAGGATCAGCACTTGCAACCTTTAGTCCTTGGGAATCTAGTCATCAAGTATCTGAGGCTCATTTGATACCCTGGGGATATCGCCAGTTTCCGGCTGGAGGCCGAGAATCTTCCATGTCTTGCCCATTACGCCCTCGTCTCTGTCAGATGCCAGCCCTTTCCGAGAAATATCGGGAAAGGCCGCATGGTCCACGGAAAAACTAGCTGGAGCGCGTGGGTTGCTTGTTGGCTGGACTCGTCTTGTGGTACCAGAGCCGGCATTCAGCTTCTTCAACTTCCACTCTTTAACAACTTCGTCTTTCCATTGGCTCCACTGCTCATAATGTTCACGTTGCTTCATGGCATGATATTTCGGAGTTGATTTGACAGGGCGCCATGCAAGGCGGTTTGCAGGGTCTGAAGTGCTACTTGCCTTAAGATCCACGAGTTTTGATTCCTTAGTTAACTTCAGTAAGTGACTGAGGATATCGCGGCATTCGGCAGCCTGCTTGTGTCGATAATCGGGGTCTTGTTCATTAACTGAAGGCTTGGAACGAACCAAAGGAACGTCAAGCCAAGAGCGCATATGGTTGCTTCTCTGTACGGAATACGGGTCAAGAAGGTGGGCTCGCTTGTTGTCATCCCGAATATAACGTATAGCGGATTGAAGGCTTGTAACTTCGGCCCGCAAGGCCTCGTTTTCTTTCATGACTGATAATGAAGCCGCAGCGTTTACAACCCCCCCTACGCCACTGCTTCCTTCAGAATCGGAAGCCCGTTTCAGTTTTTCGAAGCGGCTTCTGTACTCGTCCCGCTCTTTTTCGATTGCCTGCATATTTTGAGACTGTCGTTCAACTAGAGCAACGAGCTCATTCTCTTTGGAGTGTAGATTCTCTATTTTAGCTTCCAAGTCTTTGACGACAGCTGCCTTTTTACCGGCCTCACGCATACGTGCTTCAAGGAGTTCGATCTTGATAGACTGCTCCTCAAAGACTCTGTCTTTCGCTCCGAGAGCGTTTGACGCCTCGCTCAGTTCATTCTTCAAGCGTCTGATCTCTTCTTCGGCATCCGGCGAAGTATCCTGGCTAGCCTTAAGCATCTTTGAGCGAGCAATCCATGGAGATTGTCGTCGATCAAACTCAACTGTCTGAGACAAATCGGAGGAAAGATTCGATGTCTCATCAACATAGCCTGTCAAAAGACGAAGTTTATTGGCGATAATTGCAAGGGCGTCGTTTGAACTACTGTCTCCAGGTGATCCCTTAGGGATAGAAGCAACTGCACTAGACATACTAGTCAATACTTCCGGGTGCGTGAACGGTTCTGTGCGATCGTCATCATCGACAAGTTGCAGGAAACTATTTCCGATGAGTTGAGCCACTGCTGACAGCTCCTTAGCGGCTTGTTCGGTTGACTCAAATGTCTCTTTGCATTCCTCCGCAAGAGCTAGTGACCTTGTTCTCAGTTCTTCTAAAGACCGAGTGACTTTGCTTGATGCAACTTTTATTCCCCTTGCCTGCTGAACGACTGTGTCGATTTTTTTGTAGAGATGTTGGCTTTCTTCGTCTTCCGGCGAAGGAGGTATTTTGGATTGAATTCTAGATTTCAATTGAGCAAGAGCGGATGCCGTGTTATCCAGATAAGTCTGCGTCAAGACAGATAACATGTACATCTCATTTCCAGTGCCTTCGACGTGTTGCGGTATTAGTGTCTCCGCTAGATGTGACAAAAGAGCAGTTGATCGCTGGAGCTCATCTGCGCAAGTCTTCTCATTCAACTCCCCTTTTTTCAGGCTCTCAATCCAAAAGTTCAAGATGCGCTCAACTGGTTCAAGCTCATATAGAGCTCCTTCGAAGGAAGAAAATTGTTCGCTTGAACAACCATCCATAAAAGTGACAAATCTATCACAGACCAGTGATATCCAGGTAAGTTTCTCGAGTACCTCGTAGGCCAGAAATCCATCTTGCTCAGGGAAGCGAATTGACGGGTCGGCCAGACGTTCCCTTACGGTGTTACCCATTACTGAGGCTTTAAATCCTACACGCTTAAAACGGAGGAGTGCAAGAATTGGATTCCGTTCACTCTCGTAATAGTCAGGCAGGTAAAGCTTGACAATAGACAAGTGGCTGGCAGACTCCTCTGCTTCCATCCGACCTAGCTCTAAGTCAATAGACTTGACCTGGGCTTTTGCAGCTGAAGCTTGGAGCTTCATGTTCAGATCCATCATTGCTCTTGAACGTACAGTTAGATCTGTAGCCTCAGTCTCTGTGATTTGCTGCGAGGCTCGCATGTCTTCTAGGTCATTCTGCAGGGTCGAGACCAGCTCACGGAACTTCGAAAGGGTATATTCAAGATCTTCAATGACAGCATCTTGTTGTGAGATCTTTCGGTTTTGTTCATGGTATATACCCTCCCGAAAATCGATCTCTTCTTGGAGCTGTTTCTCAGATTCAATGTGATTGATCTCAAGCTCATCATTTAGTTCCTTCAAACTTTCGAGGTCTTCTATTATTGCCTTCAGTTCGTTCACTTCCTCCTGGTACTGCATATTTTTCTCAGTAAGCTCTTCAATCATTTCCTCGGCCCCCAAAGCCTCCACCTGCTGTTTGAGATCCTCCATGTTCGCTTCTGAGGCAAGCAACTTCTCTTTGGTAGATTCATACTGAGCCTTGAGGTTGTTATAGTCCTTGAGTTCCTCCTCCAGATCCTTGACTTGATCTTTTAGGTCGGCTTCCTGTTGTTGTGTCATATCACGAAGACGGATCAAAGCTTCACGTAGGCGCTCATTTGTTCGTTCCATTTGCAGCCATCCCTGACTCGATTTCTCTTCGGGGCTCATGACCTGTCCAAGCTGATCATTCTCCTCCTTCAAGACTTCTACCTCAAGCTCTAATTCCTCTGTTCGAATCTTCAAAGCTTCATACTCAGCTTTGATTGATTCAGCAACCTCTTCCGCCATCTCTCGGTCCAATGCTGCCATCTCAAGAATGGATTCATGTTCGGCTTGAAGTCTCTCAACTTCTTCAACCCTATACTCGGCTTCCTTCAGCTGTTTCCTCAATGTAGTAATTTCCTGTTGCTGAGGTTGATATTTTTCTCTAAGCTTCTGTATGATAGTCTCGAACTTGTCTCTCTCCGCCCGGTACGTCTCAACCATCTTTAGCTTCTCGCGGTCTTCCGCCCTTTTTTTCTCCATAATCTTCAGCTTCGTCTTTAGATCATCAAGCTCCTTCTGTACTAGCATATTGCTGCCGGAAACAGATCTCTGGCTCATCGGAGATGGCGTAGGTCGAGCCAAACTTGGCTTAACAACATCAAGCTCTGGCCCATCGGGAGGTGAGCTTGCCCGTGATGCATCTTCGCTTTGCTCACCAGAGCTCGCTTCCACTTTGCCCATCACCGGTGACTTCGCTGTAGCTGGTTTTAGTGACATACGTCTGGATGTGGCCGGGCTTATTGTTGTACGCGAAGCGGCCAACCCTGTACGAGTGGTTTTCGCCGGAGGTCCCATCATAGATTGGGATTGGGATTGGCGTAATGATAAACGAGAGTTAGACGTTGTAGATGTGGGAGTAGGGGCTACTGAGCTGCGGTTTGATAAGCTTGGCCTGGCCTTATGACTTGGAATAGTCCTCGAAGCTGTCGAGGAAGCCCGGGATGCAGCGGGAGTACCGGGTCCAGCCAACTGTTTCACCGGTGATTTGGTAGGCGACTGCACAGTCCGCACGGCTTCTTAGCAATAATACTATATAGAGTAACTGGAGAAAGTTAAGAACGTATAGCTCACCCGTAACGCTCGACCCAAGGCTCTTGGAGCAGGCGAAGGACTTGAAGCAGCAGAACTCGGCTTCTTTCCCCCCGGTGTAGATGACATCAGGCTCTGTTTTCTTGTTCCCACTGCGCCTCCGGGAGGCACAATCATCGACCCCGGTCTTCCCCTGCCATCGAGGCCACTTTTTGGCGCAACCCTGGGCTCTTCTTTCTTCGCCTGCTCAACAATCTCAACAATGGCAGACGCCCGGACGAACATGCCAAATCCATATTCACACTCGAAATATCTTTCTCCTTGAACTGAGCCATCATTTTTACCGGTTGCGTCTTCGAGTTCCAATCCGATCCATTCTCCAGGGGCAAAACGCGTTGTGCCAATGAATCGAACTCTCGCGTGACGACCGTCCGCAAGCTTGATAAGCTGGCCGGCGGCAAACCCGACCATTATGTCGGGCGACAATCAACTTAGGGGATAAGAAGCAAAAAGAAAGAAAAATTGCCCTTTTCCGTAGGCCTGGTTGTTGTTGCAGAAAAAAGCTCTCCGTTTTCTTTGCTTGCCCTTGATGTGTTTTGGGCAGCTTTAAGGTTGTTGCTATTTACTCTATTATGTAATCATCAGGAACAATCCAGTGCTGGTTTAGAGAGGCTAAGTCATGTTTGTGGCCGCTTTTAGTGAATATTAAATTTCGAGAATGAAGAGCAAAGAAGCTGAGATGCTGAGAAAACATGGGCATTATG